TATCTATACAGATATATCAATAAATATAAAATGTAATTATTATTATTATTATTATTATTAACTACTATAAATTACAATGTTTTTTGTGTCCCTAATTGACATTAAATTAAAAAAATAAATAAAATAAATTATAATCAAACTAAATATCTTAGTTTATAATATAAATTTATTAAAAAAAATTATATTATAGATACAATTACGATATAAACAAAAACAAAAATGAAAATAAAAACAGCATAAATGTCAGCGAAAAACTAATAATAATAATATTTTTAAACAACAAAAAAACTTTTAATCTCAATAATCGATGAGTGATTCAGTCTCTCTCTCTCTCTATCCATACCTACCTAAGCTGTATGAGAGAGAGAGAGAGAGAGAGAGACCTGTGCCGAGCAATGTTATGACACACTATATATATATATATACTGTATATATAATAAGTTATAATAAGTTTATTTAGCTCTTATAGGCGTTTCAGATACAGACACAAAAAATACAGTATAACTAATATATCCTTTTTGTTGTTGTTTTTGTTGTCAATATTGTAATGTGTTGTGTCTATACTTATGTATTATTATAAATACAATATATATATATATATATATATGTATGTTAACCTATTTGAGACAACCATTGACCTTGCTATTTGAGCAATAGGCTGCTGATGCTGCTGCTGCTCATCATATCTTATAGCATACCATACCATACCATACCATCAATTTAATACATCAACTATCAGGACATACCGGTAAAACATATATACTTTATATACGATATATATATATTGTTGGTGTTGTTGTTCCGGCTTAAGAAAAACTAAACACCCATTGAGTTATCGACAAAATTGTTTTCAAACCAAAAAAAATAGTTAAAAAATTTTTATAAACATATATATACAAACAAATAAATAAAAGTATATATATATATTATATATAGAAACACATTATACTAAAAAAAAGTTTTTTTTTATGTTTCCCATTGAAAAAACAGTGTGCAGTTTTATTTTATTTTATTAATTTAAAATATTATTATTATTATTATTCAACTTGTCAAATCTATCACTGTATTAATAATGTATACAATATATATATATATATATATATATATAAATTTTGTAATACAAAAGTTTACAAAAATTTTTATTTTTAATTAACAAATATTTAATATTATTATTTATTATTATTATTGTTGTTGATATATATAACAAAAAAAATTTCTATGAATATGAATAGTAATATTATAATAAACAGTATATATATATATTTGAAATGTTTGTGATGGATATGTGTTTTACAAACCCATAGGTATATCAATAATATATATATATATATAATATATATTATATATAATAGTTGATCTCATTTTATAGGTATATAATACATTTATAGCATACATAATATGTATTACATATAAATCACAGTATCAACAATAATAATTTATATATATATATATACAGTATGTATTGATACATAATGTAAATTTATATACAGGTATATATAAATATAGAGTATTTAAATTATGAATAAATTTTTAAAAAAAATAAAAATGTTAACAAAACAATATAAACAAATATTTTATGTTTATTTTCTATTCGTATATATATATATATATATATATATAGAAAATGTTGTTAAAAAAAATTATTTATATATTTAATTAGTTTATTTATTTTTTTATGAATTGTTGTGTTATTTTAATGTAATATATTATAAACTACTAAATAAAAAATATATAAATATATTTTTAGCAAATCCTGATAAAAAAAATTTATTTCATATATTACATCATATATGATAGTATTATCATAACATATTTAGTGTACATTTATTAAGATAGTCACTCAAAAAAAAAAATTAAAAAATAATATATATATATATATATAAACTTATTATTAGCCCTTTGGCTACCGGCCCTAAACAGTGACTTACTGTTTAAATATATTATAAATTTCATATAAATTTATTATATTGAATATATTATATTTAACAACACCACCAACAACAAAAAATAACAGATAATTTAATTGAATATAACATATGTGTGTTGTGTTAACATTTTTTTTATATACTGTATATATAGTTTCAGTCATTTTTAAAGTCAACCGTCTAATTAAAAGCCGTTTATATTAATTATGAATTGAGTACATTATGTTTTTATCTCTCTCTCTCTCTCTCTCTCTCTCTCTCTCTCTCTCTCTCTCTCTCTCTCTCTCTCTCTCTCTTTAAACATGACATAAATATTTAAGACAAGACACAACCATTAGGGGTAGTAGTGTTTTACATGACGATAGAGAGAGAGAGAGAGAGAGAGAGAGAGAGAGAGCATTGATAGAAATGGAGTTCAACAGCACCTGAACAACACCTATAAAAAAACAGTAAGTCCTCAATAATAGGTCCTTATATTATGATTTGTGTGCAATTATGTTGTTGTTGTTGTAGTTGCTGTTACCGGACCGCTATAGTCAAACAACACCAGTAAAATAGAGAGAGAGAGAGAGAGAGAGAGAGAGAGAGAGAGAGAGAGAGAGAGAGAGAGAGAGCACCGTTAGCTATGTGTGTGTATGAGTTGACTATACTATAGAAATGTATGTTATGTTGGACTTGATCTTGACCTTCATTCTTATGCAACTTAAGGTATAAGTTATATATATATAAAGTATTTATAGAAAAACCACTCTTTTTCTGTACAACCAAACACATACCGGTGCTCTCGTATACAGTGTGTGTGTGTGTGTGTATGTAGTCCTCGATTTTTTCGGGGCTCTCGACTCTCTTAAATATTTTTAACTTATTTCTCTCACTACTAATACAACTACCACTACAACTACTACTACCTAACTATCCGAGAAAAAAACTAAACGGTATATCAGTTCATGTAATACACGATTGGAGAGTTAGTTGACATAACTGTCCGCCGAAAACGCGTTTCGTTCAAAAAACAACTGTTATTTCACTTAAACATTATATAAAGTATATATTGTTGTGTATAATAAAAGACTTTTCATTTTATATATTAATATATATATATAGACATTAGATATTAAATCTTATATATTGTTTTACTTTAAGTAAATATATATTATATCTAATGCTATTATACAGTATTTAATGTTATTAAAAAAAAAAGTTTTTTTAATTGTTGAAAATATATCAGTATATTAACTATATTGGATAAATAATATTATAACTAATCCAATATAGCTAATTGTGTGTAATATTTTGATATTAATAAATAATTTTATATATTTGTTGAATAATATAATAATAATAATAATAAAAAGTTTTGAAAAACTATTAATTTTTATAATATACAGTGTGTTTGTTATAAAAATAAATAAATGCTGGAAAAATCAACAAGATAATTTTTTAGGTTTGTTTGATTGCAACAAAACATATACGGAATAAATAGATAATAATAATAATAATAATACGAAAAATTACTACCAAATAAAAAATTATGAAATATTTTTGCTACAAATCGATTGTAAGTTAATATAAGTTTTTTATATTTAATTATAAAAAATTATCATATAATTTATATTTATGTTAAAATAGACACTATTTTTTAAAACTGATTAGGACTAAATTATCGATAGATAATATATATACCAACAAAAATATATACAATAATTTATCAAATTAGTATAATCTTATATATATATATATTTATTAATATTATTAGTTTCATACTGTAATTATTATTATCATTATTGTTTTTAACAATTTTCTCAAAAAAAAAAAAAATTATTTAGCAATAATAGTTTAGATATGTTAATATTACTTAACTTTTAAAAAAAATATATACTACAAGTGCGATAACCTAACTAACCTTAACATAGACCTTAAGCTTATATATATATATATTATTAATATTTTTCAACTATATTTAAAACAAAATAATTGATAAAATTAGCTCTCAAACACATAACTATAGTATTTTTATAGTAAAAAAATTCATATATATATATATATATAAATTATTTTTGTTGGAAATGTATGTATAATTACAAAATGTAATTTACTACTACCACCAGCAAGTTTAATGTGTTTAAAGATTAGTTAGTGAGATAACAGCCACAAAAAAACTAAATAAATAAATAAATAATTTTTTATGAGTTTTAAAAGTTTGATAAAATATACATTCAAAACAAAAATCATAAATTTCAATACATTTCAACGACACTTACATACATGTAATACATGTATATATTGCTTATATAGAAATAAAAATTGCTCAGTCGTTGAAAATATTATATATATATATATATAAATATTTTTTGAGATAATATGATAGCAAATTGGATTGAATAATCTGAATGACCACACATTAAGTACACACACATAGACACACACACACACACACACACACACACATACACACACCTAACAAAAAAAACAGTATATTTTTGGCGATAAAACAATTTAACATATCCTAAGATCAGTACATATAATATAATTATTTGTTTTAATTTTGTTTGAAAAATGTTATTAACAGTATATATACAGTATATAAAACAAATGTATAAATTATATTTATTATTATTATTATAATCTGTTTTTCTAGTATGCAGTGTCATTTATTTTCAAAAAATTTATATACATGTCATATACTAAACTTATACTGTATGCAAATAAAAATAATACACAAAATTTCAAAAAATTAAAAAATAAAATAAAAATATGAATATATATATATATATATAATATTCATAAATTTATTTATATGATTGAATTGCATGCATTGAATTATATGTACTTTTTCACATAAATAATTATTATACAATAGCAAACAAAATATTATTATTATTATTATTTTTGAATAACCAATTTATAATAATTGAAATACAAACTAAATTTCAAAATACTAAATATAATAATTATGAAAAAAAAATTTTAAACTTAAAAATTATATATAAATATTTAAACTCTATATATATATTAACAAATCGCATATTATATTTAGAAAATATTTTTTAACTCCCAATATATATAAATATATAGTTTTTAGCGACACTATCGCTGTTTGTCTTATGGGATACCTGTCTGGGCCAGTATAGTAGTACATACCGGCACCGGGATGATGATGACAAAAAACCGTACGAGTTTAACGACGCCGAAATGACGGCCATCCAGGCTATCGTAGCCTTTCGGGAAGTAATCGGTGAACTGCTACAAAAAGTTGGCTTCAATTTGCCGAGTCTGGCCTCGATTATTACCCGATCGGATATGAATCACGTGAAAGCACCGGTACGAGTACAGGCGGCCGCCCAGACACTCGAAGCGGCCGACAGTGTAGTCAAATCGACGGGCATAGCCGGCGCACTGTTACGCGGTATGGCCATATCGCTACCGTTGCTAATACCGATGGCCACACAAATCCGCCGGATGTCCAACGAACCGACTGTACCGCCGTATATACCGGCCATACCGTTCATACCCGACCCGTACTACAATCGGGCACTGCATCGACGCCGTGGTCGCCGATCGGTGATGGGGGTCAGCAGGTCGTCGTTGTTGTCGACCCCCTCCTATACGGATACCGATGCCTATAGATTAAGACAGTTGGAGGCAATCATCAGCAAAATCGAGTCACTTCACAGACAATACAATAGTAAATAAGTAAATGAAAAAAAAAGTTTTTTTTTTATTATTATTATTATTATTGTTTTTTTTGATTGTTTGAAACTAATATTTTTTGTTTATAAAAAAAAATATTAGTATTATTATTATTATTAGTATAACTTTGTTTCTGATGTTTGTTTGTTTTTTTCTGAATATGACATTGATTTAGGAAAACATTTATATATATATATATATATATATATACATAACTCGTACCATAAAATTAAAATAAATATATATATATATATATGAAAACAATTAAATAAAAAAAATAGTAAAAACAACAAATTGTTTGTTTTGTTGAATTTTTTTTTAAATAATTGTTTTGTATGGAGTGATATTTTTTCTAATAAGTTATATAAATATACTATAAATATATATATTATTATTAATAGTATTAAATTTTTTATGTTTTGTTTAAAATGCAACACAAAAATAAATGAGAGATAAGTTATTAATAATATATACATATATGTATTGACAGTATATTTATATTGAAAATAGTTGTTATGTAATTTTTTTTAATGAAATAGGATATTATCTTATTATTAATAATAATATTTTTTTTATCGATATTATTATAATTATTTTTTTTCGTAAAAAATAATTTGTCTTCTTATCTAATCATTTATTATTATTATATATATATATATATATATTTTGAAATTATCGCATAATCATCATTAAATGCTAATTAATTTTATTACCTCCTCTTTATTCAAAACAAACAAACAGATAAACAAAAAATTATTATTATTTTTTGTATTTGTTTTTCTTAAAAATATATACAGTATATTAAATACAGATAACTATTTAAAAACATAAATAATAAGTAATTAAAAAATTTAAATATTTAAACAAAAACAAAAAAATAGATTTATTTATCTGATATAATATTTTTAGAAAAAAATATTTTAGCAAATAATAAATCATTTAATACACACACACACACAAAATTAAATTATCAATTAATAATAATAAAAAAATATATTAAAAAGCCCATTAATTTATGATATATTTAAAAAAAATAATTAAAATATTTTTTGTCAATTGTACATATCTTATAATACAACAACAATACATTATTGAATTAAAAAAAATAATAAATAACACAAATTATAATTAATTTTTTTTGTTTGTTATTGTATTTTGAAATATTTACAGTACTAGTATAGAGTGGCCAACAACACAACAATATATATATTTAAAAAAAAAAACATTAAAAATCTATTGTATATAATTTAATACACACACACACACACACACACACACACACACAATAAATTAAATAAATTGTATTAGGTCAATGCAATAAATAAATAAATAAATATATATATATATATATATATTTAACATATATTTTTTAAATATACACAAAAATATAAATACCCTTTAAAAAAACGTTTGATAATATTTTTAACGTTATGTTCGCCCACCTAAATATGTATATGTATTACATCACTACCTGTCCCCTCAATTATATGCCGTCCTAAACTATCATATATATATATATAAATATACGATGATATATGTAATCAATATTATTATTATTATTAAAAAACATAATTTTTTTCTATATATATATTTACAAAATGCCTTTCAGGGGCACCAAAGGACTCAATCATATATAATATAAATAATAATAATAACACATTTGCACAAAAAAATAACTTTAAAAAAAATATTTATAATATATTATACACATTAAAAATACACTCAAATAGATGTTATATGAGTTTTTTAAAAAATAATTATATTGTAATAAACATTTTTTTAAATATTATTATTATTATTGCTAATAATAATAATAATAAATCTTAATTTTCTACTTTTGTATTACAAACTATAGAAAATATATTTATATATATACTTGTATTACTATATTGTATTAAAACATTAAATTTTATTTTATATAAAAAAACATTATGTGTCAAACAATAGAGAGAGAGAGAGATGTTATTTCATTTTGTTATTATTATTACTATTACTTATAAAAATTTAATTTTTAATTTGTGTGCAAAAAATAAAATCATTTTAAACAACATAATAAACACTGAAATATATATATAAAAAACATATTTTAAATTGTAATACACTTTTTAAAAGTAATAATAACAATATTATTGTTTTAATCAATTAATTTTTTTTAAAAATAATCATTTTAATGATAAAAATCAATATACAGTAATTTTTTTTTTGATAACTTTGGTGATAACTATTAATAAATTGATGATTTATATATATATAGAAAATTAATATTGAAAAAATGATAAATTGTAATTTTTTTCTTTTTTTAAAAAAATAATATTTTTGTTATAAATAATTTTTTTTAAATATCACATTTTGTTTGTATTGAAAGGTATTTTATATATATATAAAATAATATATTATATATATATATAATTATTATAATTATGTTATTTTTACTCATTAAACTTGTCAATTCATATACAATATATATATAATTAATAAAATATAATTTTTATATTAATATTTGTTTTATTATTTTTATATGTAATATGATATTTCATAATAATTTTTTTGAAAAAATAAAATAAAAATGTTTTTAAAAAAATATATTTACTATTTTTTACTTTTAACATATTATTAGTATAGTAATTACACCAAAAATATTATGTTTTTAAAATAAAATTTATTTATTAATATTAATATTTTACAGTCATTTAATTGGTATAATTTAAGCCAACAATTTATTTCAGTTATTTTATTTAATGGAAATAACTAATGTTTTTTTTATTATTAATGATAAATGTATTAATTTTTATGTTGATTTATTTATCATATTTTTTGGTGACCCCTGTATTATATACAGTTAAAATTAAAGGAATTTTATCTCAATTTATTTATACAAATATGTATATAGTTTTATATATTTTTTATTTTATTTATGCTTTAATAAAAAAATAATAATATTTGCCCGTTTAAATAAATTAATATTAGTGTACTAATGAGTTATATATTCAATATATATACCAGTATATAACACAACAAATAATACTAATAAAAAATATTATAAATATTTGAAATAGTTAAGTATATATATTTTATTATTAGTATTTGTATTTTTTAAATAAATAAATAAATAAATGGTTAATTAGTTTGCAATAGTTAAAAGTTTTGAACTTATATATATATTATATATACAATATATGCATATAAAATAATAATTATTATTTTGTATAATATTAGTGAAAAAATAAATGTATTATCGATAACATACAAATAAAAAAAAACAACTATTTGATAATAAAAAATTATGTGCTTTTTTAAAAAATATATATTTATTATCTATGACTTAAATACTGTGTACTTATAATTACAAATAAGTCAATAATTTACTAAATAACAGCACAAACACACTAAAAATGTTTTTTAAATAACTTTTTTTACCCCTAATAATAATAATAATAATATATAAACTAATGTAAAGATTCAACAAAATTTATACAATTTTTTACATCTAATATAACATATAATAGTAGTACTGTATGTAAGTTATAGTTTATATTTTAAAACTGATAAATGATGTGTAGATTTAACTGAGATATATAAGTATTATTATTATTAGTTTTTTTTAAATCTAAACAACAGCAAAAAATATGAATTATTAAACTATTGAATAAAATTTTTTTTCTCTTAATTTATTTTCTCTCAAATAAATAACAACAAAATTACATATAATTGTATTTATATTACTAATCATAATAATTATAGATGAAAATTACAACAAAAAAACAACAAAAAATTGCATTTTAAATTTAATTGCCAATTAATTATCATAAATATTAATGACTGTTAAACTATAATTATTGAAATGAAAAAAAAACATAATATATATATATATATTTATTTTTTTACATACAATTTATAATTAATTGATGCTATAGTTTGGTGTTTAGCTTCAAGCAAACTATTATTATTATATATTTTTTTTTGTTTTTTTCATATATATAATATATAATTTATCATTATCGTCATCATTATATAAATTTATATACAATTATAACAATTGTCATAATAATCAATAACAACAACAACAACAACAAAAATATTATTAGTATTTTAGTAATAATATTATAATAGTTTATTAATAAACACTAATGTTGTTATTATTATTATTATTAATTATATTATTGTTGTTATTGTAAAATAAAATAACAACAATAAAAAATAATAAACAATTAAAAAAATCAGTTTTTTTTATTATACTTAACAAAAACTGGCTTTCAGTTTAAAACAAAACAAAAAATTTTAGTTTTATTAAATATAAATTGTTTTAAACTGTTAATTAAATTATGTAATTAATTAAATATAACAAAACAAAAAACAATTCAATGAACTACTCCTATATATATATATATAGTAATGTAAGTAATTTATAAACAAAAAATAATAAGTTAAATGTGTTTTAAACAAGAGTTTTCATAAATTATAGGTACAGTATATTTATATATAATTTATATATATATATATATATATATATATATATATATATATAGTATAAATAAGTGTAAATAAAAAAAATCTATATATAAGTAATTTGTTTTCAATTATATATATATATATATATATATATTACGCTATATCAATTAAATAACAATTAGTATCAAATAGTCTCAAAATTAAATTTATATACATATTATAATAATAAAATTGCTAATAAATTCTCTCTCTCTCTCTCTCTCTCTCTCTCTATATATATATATATTATATTGTATAAAAATAACAACAAAAATGATAAAAAAAAATAGATTTTATTTGTTTGTTATTGAAAAATGTTATAATGTGACTGAATTTATTTTATTATTTATTTTTTTTTGGTAGAGATAATTAATAATGTTAAAATTATGATTAGCATCTAATATAAATTTATAATTTTGTTATGTTTTATTTTTTTTTTTGCATAATAATAATAAATGGTTCACATATAATAACATATTTTTATGATATTAATATACAGTATTATTACCGTATTA